TGCTGGCTTTCCCCTTGCTAGCCCCTCTGTGAGGTGAAGGGATTTCTTCTAACACCTCCCAGCTGTCCCAGCCCAGGCTGAAGGCTACACTGCAGAAGTGAAGATATAGTATAGGTTACAATCAAAATGAAGTTCACAGAACAGAATGGAGTTTGTAGATAGCATGTGTCTGTATCAATTTGCCACACTGGGTAAACTGGCTGCTGACCAGTCCTCCCAATCCTGGAGATGAAGAATCCTGTATGTGATGGGAGAGAAGCAGCATTGAACTCCAGCAACCTAATGCAGATCCTAACCATTTCCCCCCTTTGCTCTGGGATCTCTGAGGACTGCAGTAACTCTCATGCAACAACAACAACCAGGGAAGAGTGCAGAGAAGTGGTTCAAAGGTGAAATCTCCCTGTGTTTTGGATGCTCAGGAGAAAGGATCATCAGGCTGAAAAAGCATCCCTGTCATCTTGTCTGGCTGACAGCTTCATTTTGGCTGTGTTAAGCTGGGAAACTATCTTGGGCTATACAAGCTTTTCAATTTTCTTAGCTGTCACTCAGCCAGAAATTGCAAATCCCAATGCCCACTAAGAGAGCAGGGAGCTACCATTTCACAAACAACTCACAAGCTTGCCATATATGGCAGCCAGACTCTGTGGAATTCAGCATGGTTTCGGCCCCCAACCAGGGAGCATGGGAGGGCAGCCATTGGCTCTACACAGCAGCCTCAGAGAAGGAATCTCAGGATGCACCTAAGCATCTTTCAAGCACTGCTGAGCTACTGAAGTTTTCCACGCTGCTGCTGTTACTAAGACCCGGAATTGATAACTTTAATGTAAAGCAAACTGCTTTTTTTCACTTGTTTGTATGTACGTTAGTTTTTGAATCTTGTTTGATTAGGAAGACAATTAAAAAAACTTTGAACACATGTTTTCTGGAAAAATGTTTTCACTCTTAGTCCTAAAAGATTAATATTGCTGAATGTTTATTTGTCTACCACATGCTCCGCTACATCTCTATGCTTCACAAATCCTGGTGTATGCTTTTAAATTACATAGTTTGAAACTGTATTTATGTGAATCTGTAGGCTCCATCAATGAGCTTTGGACAGTAATACACCTCAAAATGAAAAGAAATTAGAAATAAAAAACAGTATTTATGTAGGGCAGTGTTTTGTGAAGCATGCACTGTACCACCCTGCAGCAGCACCCCTGGGAATGGGGTGAAGAAGGGGACTGCATACAGGCCTCTCAGTTGTTCTCTGGAGCCTCAGCTTTCGTTTCACAAATAAGTCAGTCTCTAGTTGTTATGGTTGCAAAGAAAACCATGAAAACATGACCCAAGTGTCATTGATGCCTGTCTCAGTCTACAAAGCGCTCAAACAATAGCTCTGAAGTGTCAACTGCTCCATTCATTTCCATAGCTTCTAACTCAAATGTCAATGATAGTATTGTAAAGGTCACTATTGTTAACTCATTCACTGCTCAAAGCATGGAAGAAAGCAGAATACTAAGAGGATCTAGATAATCTTCTCTTAGGCCATGTTTACCCTACAAAATTATGTTGATCTAACTTTCATCAGCATACAGCTACCAGTTATAAAATCAAACGTGTGTATGCACACTTGACTCCTTGTGTCAGCAGCATGGGTCTTCACCAGGAGCACTTGTATTGATTGTATTGTCAGTGTGGGGCATTGTGGGACAGCTCCTGAAGGCCAGTAACAGTTGACTTAAGCAAAACAATGTCTACACTGACACTGCGTAAACCTAATTACATCAACTATGACTCTCGACCGCTCAGGGATGTGGTGTTATTAAATCAGCGTAGATAGGTACTTACATTAGTGGGAGCCATATTTAAATGAAGACACTTCCACGGCTAAGTCAACACAAAGCAGCTTACGTCAACCTAACCCTGTAGTGCAGACGAGGTTTGAGTGACTGATCATTTTGGTTTAATGCCATGTGGCAGGAGTGAAGGGGGAGATGCAGTAAGTTTCATTTTCTTGGAGAGACTCAGCTTTCCAAAGTTTAGTAAATGTTAGTATGGGGTGTTCAAAGTTTTCCTGCTGCTTGTTTGGGAAGTTCTGCAAAATAATTATTTCCGGCTCTGTCATCGTTCAAAATGACATACAGAACTGATGGCAAGGTTAACTTTATGATACTTCACATCATAACATAATCTTTTGTTTGCACCGCATGATGCTATGCTGCGTTTATGGCTGGGATAGCACATTCATTCTTAACCACCATTTTCAGTAATTTAATTTCTCCAGAGGTTTTAGACTGATTTCTCTAGTTTGTTCTCACAGCTCAGAATATCTTTTGTTTGGAAAGTCTGATAAAAATCTGTTGAGCCATTTGCGTGCATAATACACATAGCCTATTCAGTATATATTATGACTCACACCTAATAGTTTGTTATGACTAATCCATATTAGTCCAAATTATATTAGGTTTTCAAAATTCTAAAATCTT